AAATTTTTCCTGTCCCAGGGATTGAACTCTAGGCCTGGGTGCCTTTTTTGCTCAAGGGGAACACTCTATCACTTGAGCCACAGAGCCACTTCTGGCTTTTTCTGTGGTTAATTGGAGATAAGAATCTCATGGCCTGGCACTGGTGGCTTACACCTGTAATCCTAGCTACTAGGAGGCTGAGATCTGAGGCTTGTGGTTCAAAGCCAGCCCAGGCAGGAAAGTCCGTGAAACTCTTATCTCCAATAAAAACCACCAGAAAACTGGAAGTGGTGCTGTGGCTCAAGTGATAGAGGAGTCGTCTTGAGCTGAAGAGCTCAGGGACAGCTCCCAGGTCCAGAGTTCAAGCCCCACACCAGATTAAAAAAAAAAAAATTTCATGGACTTTCTCAGCCTCCTGAGTGGCTAGGATTACATGCGTGAGCCACTGGTGCCCAGCTTATTTGCATTTTGTGTGTGTGTGTGTGTGTGTGTGTGTGTGCCAGTGTGGCGCTTGAACTCAGATCAGGGTACTGTCCCTGAGCTCTTTTGATCAACACTAGCACTCAACCACTTGAGCCGCAGTTCTACTTCCAGGGTTTTGCTCCTTCATTGGAGATAAGAGTCTCACAGACTTTCCTGCCCTGGCAGACTTCAAACTGTGATCGTGGGATCTCAGCCTCTTGGGTGGCTAGGATTACAGGTGTGTGCCACCAGTACTGCAGTGCCTCCAAAGGAAAATGTCTTCAAGGTGGGTTGTTTGATCTTCACTATGCTGCCTGGCTGGAGATAGAAGAGACCGGTGATAACGGCAGACAGAGCAATGAGGAAGGAGACATCTCACAGCTCAACGGCCAGCCCTGAGATCTAAGACCTCCTGTGTCAACACACATCTATTTGATCCAGGACATTCTCCTTCAGGAAGATTAAATTGTAAACCAGTATCTAGCTTGACTGTTTGCTTGAGGAAACTCTTGAAGACTTTGTTCTAACAAAAGATTTCTCCTCTTGGCAAGTAACCCCCTCAGGATGACGGGTCGCTTTTCCAGGCAAATAGCCCACTTATCAAACAACTGTTTACATATTAACATATCAAGACTGGCTCTACTTTGTTACATCCACCATGGTTAAACCATTATGAAACAAACATTCTATGAGATTGGAGCAGTGAAACTGCCTTAAGCCCTGGAGCTAAGACTCTCAAACCTGAAAAACACACACTTGGATCCAGTCCCTTTAATGCCCCCCCCCCAAAAAAAAAGGATCTTTGGTGTAACTGGGCATCAGCAATTAAGGATGATCACGGTGTCTACCAGCCCTGGACCTCATTCACAAAGGGATCTCAACTTCTATTCCTTGACACTTTTGGGCTTTTGATCACTGGCAGCCAAACCAGACTGAGATATGAGGCTCATGGTTCAAAGCCATCCTGGTGTCTGAAAAGTATTCAAAACTTCAATTAATCAGCAAGAAACTGGACTGGAGGCATGGCTCAAGTTTGAGATCAAAAGGGAGAGGTCTTGATCCCAGCATAAAAGTATTAGACATAATTCCATCATCCCACCTAAAAATTATTAATAATTCCTTACATTGTATGTTCAAATAGTGTTCAAATTTTCCTTTAAGTTATTTTTACTATCTTATTTAAATCAAGATGGAAATAAAATTTGCATATCGTTATTGGCTTATGATTTATCTATTTTTCTTTAAGATGCCTAATTGAAGGATAGTATACACAGTAAAAAAAAGACTACAAATTCTTCCTTTTTTGTTTTTGCAGGTCCTGGGGCTTGAGCGCTGTCCCTGAGTTGCTTTTTGCTCAAGGCTAGCACTTTATCACTTAAGCCATGGGAGTAGCACAGACTTTCTTCCCTGGCTGGCTTTGAACTGTGATTCTCAGAACTCAGCCTCTGGAGGAGCTAGGATGACAGGCAAGAGCCACCTGGGCCAGCTACAAATTCTTTTTTGCTGTTGCTGTTGTTGGTAGAGGGCCCTGAACGCTGTCCCTCAGCTCTTCAGCTCAAGGCGAGCGCTCTATCACATGAGCCACAGCGCCACTTCTGGCTTTTTCTGCTTATGTGGTGCTGAGGAATCGAACCCAGGGCCTCACACATGCAAGGCAAGCGCTCTACCACTGAGCCACCTTCCTTCCCAGCCCTGGCTGTTACAAATTCTTTTAACCCAATCTCTTCTAATCAGTCTATAAACTTTTTGCTAGCTCGTTTTTCCTCTCACATTTATTTGATGAAATAAGCGCTGCCGTGGTTTCCCGTGGTGTCCTGGGCCTGCTGTCCGCTCACTGGCTCCTTGACAGAGGCGGCGGCCCTTAGAAGTGTCTGATAAGGATGACTTGTTTTTCAAGGCCCTTTCCCCCAGGGCCCCCTTTTCCCTGACGGAAGGCTCTGCCCCTCCGATCTGTGTCTTTTCAGTTTTTAAAGGTGTGCGTGCAATTCCGCTCCTTACACTCAGTCTAGCCAACGGGGGGGGGGGGGGGAGGATGGAGCCGGAAAACGACAGTTTGGGTTAGAAAGTAAGGCGTGATCAAGTAGTGAGTGGCCCAGAAGGAGGCTCCACCACAGCGGGGTCTGCCCCGCAGGGTCTGCCCCGAAGGCGGGAACAACCGCGGCGCGGGCGGACGGACGGTCGGACACCGAGACCGACAGGTCGGTGCGCGCGGGCCAGCGCCGGGGGCCCCGCGTACCCCTCCGAGGACCCCTCCCCGTCTCGGCGTGTTCCACACTGCGTTTTAAACCTGGATCTCCACGAAGTTCACAGCCCGGTGACGGCCCACGTGCGGCCCGGCCCGCCCCCCGCCCTAGCCCGGCCCGGCCCGGCCCGGCCTCCACGGCGTGGTCGGGGCACCGCGGGGGTGCGGGCTGCTTCGGAGTGGGCAACCAGGGGGGAGGAGGCTAGGAGGCAGGCCGCGGGGCGGGCGCGGCTCCAGCCCAGCAGCTGCAAGGCCGAGGCGGGAAGGACGCTCGTTCTCCCCGGTCCAGGCGCCCGCGGAATCACCCCAACCCCGGCTCGCGGCCCACGGCGTGCCTGACACCTCCTTCGCCAGCTATTCGTGGACCCCACCCTGCCACGCCCCCTCCGCCGCGCCACGCCCCCTCCGCCGCGCCACGCCCCATGACGCAAAATAGGGCGGAGCCATCGGTGGCTGGGTGCGTCAAGTTCGACGTCTTCCCTAGCTCCTCCCACGCCCTTCGCTTTCGATCTGGCGCCGGCGCGATTCCGGCCGGGCCAGTTGTCACCTCCCGCCCCCCCCCTAGCAACCGTCTCCAGCCCTCGCCCCGTCCCCGCCCCTCTGCCGCGTCCGCGCACGCGCGCCCCTTCCGGCGCTCGGCCCCGCCCTCCCCGTCACCCGTAACAACCACTCGAGCCCTC